TCTGCAAGTCCCAGGGCATTGAGTACATTGTGGGCCGTATCTGGGTAGGCATGTGGCTCATACTGATCGTGATCATCATCGTGGCTGTGGAAGGCAGCTTCCTGGTCAAATTCATCTCCCGCTTCACTCAGGAAATCTTCTCCATCCTCATCTCTCTCATCTTCATCTACGAGACTTTCAATAAGCTCATCAAGGTTTCCCCACCACATCATCTTCAGACACCATTTCCTTGTCATAGCCTCATGTGTTGTCTCCTATTTTGCCTCCTCTGACTTCTTATCTCCTGTTGTTTAGATCTTCAAAGCCCACCCTCTGGTTCTGAACTATGATTATCTGAACGATACATTGGATAACCCTTTCCACATACTCGTGACGGAGCGCAGCGTGATCGATCACCATGGCAACCTAACCATTCATGAGAAGGAGATTGAAAGGGCCTACCCCAACACTGCCCTGCTTTCTATGTGCCTTATGTTAGGTTGCTTCTTCATTGCGTACTTCCTCCGCCATTTCAAGAATGGTCATTACTTCCCCGGCCCAGTAAGATCAACTTTGTATGACCAGAAATGTTGTAGTTTTGAAAAGACTCAGTAGGTTTTGTGATTTCCCTGACCATGATGTAAACTGTTGTCTTATTAGCTCCGTCGTTTGATTGGAGATTTCGGTGTCCCCATTGCTATTTTCTTCATGATTGCTATCGATATCAGCATTGCGGATGCTTACACTCAGGTAAGTGTTATGTTGTGGCACGTCATCTAAAACAAGGTCTAACAATTCTAAAAATTAAAAAATTAAAACTAATGTTATGCACCACATCATGTGCAATAATCGATTGTTCAGATCTTTTGAAGTTGGTTTGTACTAGGTATACTTATCCAAAGTCAGTGTGTTATCTACAGTAGAATGCAGTCTGCACACCCCCAGTTTGAAGAAACACATAAGTACAGGCACAAAACAAAGCAATGTACTGCTGTTGACGGACGAAGGGAGCACTTCAACTTTTTAATAAAAGAAAACATCAATTTAAGTGTATAATATATTTAGAATATTTTTCACTGCTTGACCTCGCCGTCAGACAGCCTTTTCCAAATTGAAACTAAAGCTGTTATATTCATCTTTAAAGCAGTCTGTCTAAGACTTTTTGTAAAATACAGTTCCTAACCATGAAAATAAGTTAATGTTCATGTTTACAAATCTCTTTATGTTTTGTCCTTCCTAAAAATACGACTAAGCTTATAGCTAACACACTAATTGTATTCATGTTGAAGGAATACGTCGGTTTTCTGTCTTTCCATGATTTTTTTTGAAATATCATAAAAACTACCAGCACATACTAAAGGTTCCACTTTATTCTCAAAACTTAAATAAATATTTCTCTCTTTCTCTGCTCCTTTACACTCTCTTAGCCTGGGCCTAACACTCTTCCGTAGATAAATGAGAGTAATGAAAACCTTCCTGTCCCCTTGTAGAAACTGGTTGTGCCAAAAGGCATTGAGGTGACCAACCCCAAAGTCAGAGGCTGGTTTATCAACCCTTTGGGAGAAAAGAAGCCCTTCCCCATCTGGATGATGGGTGCCTGCTGTGTACCAGCAGTGCTCGTCTTCATCCTCATCTTCCTGGAGTCCCAGATTACAACGTGAGTGACTACATAAAATAACGGCATTATAGTCTCCAATATTACTTTGTGTTTAACGTTGTTGTTGTTGTCTGATTGCCAGGCTGATTGTGAGCAAACCTGAAAGGAAGATGGTGAAAGGATCTGGTTTTCATTTTGATCTGCTCCTCCTGGTCACCATGGGGGGGATCGCCTCTATTTTCGGGGTGCCCTGGCTGAGCGCTGCTACTGTGCGATCAGTCACCCACGCCAACGCTCTCACTGTCATGACCAAGGGTCCCAAACCAGAGATCGAGAAGGTGATTGAGCAGAGGATCAGTGGAATCCTTGTGGCCATTATGGTTGGTAGGTGCTGCCATCTACAGAGCTGATGCACAAACAGCAGGCTCTGAACACATTTCCATTTTTGAATACATTTGTCATAAATGCACTTTTTATCCCATTTTAAGATACAGATAATCTTGGCAATGTCGTAAGTGGCAACTTGGCTATCAAGAGACCCTTATTGACAAAAGGTATTGTGCTTTTAATAATTATTCACTTTCTGTGATTTCAAGGTGCTTCTATTTTCATGGAACCTGTTCTGAAGATGATTCCCATGACCGCCTTGTTCGGAATCTTCCTCTACATGGGTATCACCTCTCTGAGTAATCCAGATGTGGGACAGGATGCTTCTGCTGATCACTCCAAAGAAATACCATCCCGCTGAAGCCTACGCCACCAGGGTACGCAGCATCCTCAAATACACTTCAGGACCTTGTTTAATAATACAATGATGTGGAAGGCCCTTTTGTCTGACAAACACAGTATCATGTCCAAATATATTCACTGCCTCATAGTGTTTACACACAACACTTTATGGCTGTAAATGCTTAATTTCATATTTAAAGTAGTGATTCAGCTTTTTGTATTACATTGTTGTTGCCAGTATGCGTGATACTTTATTTATTAATACTGCTCTATGCCATCTCACTGGCCAAATATCTCTATGTGGTGGTTTTGTGTTGTTTTGTGTATGTGTCTTTATGTTTTCAATTGATGTCATTGTTTGTTCTTAGTCTTTTTCTGGTGGTTGTGTGTCCAAGTGTAGACCATTTGCTAAGGTCATTTTGTGTCTAACAGTCACTTTAAAACAAGGCTCTGACCTAGGAGCCCACTGACCCCACAACACGTTCAGTTTTTTCCACCTGTATTTCAATCTTATTTAACCTATATTCTTTCAGTAAATCATCCTAACCCTAAAATAACATTTCTTTTTTTACTATTTAACATTACTCTTTGGCAGTGCGTTCCACTGCTAACACGTTTCTCTGTTGTCACTTATTCAGGTGAAAACAATGAAGATGCATCTCTTCACTGCCATCCAGCTCGTGTGCCTGGGTTTGCTGTGGGTGGTGAAGATGAGTGCCTTTTCTCTGGCGCTGCCTTTTGTTCTCATCCTCACCATCCCTCTGCGCATGTTCATGACCGGCCCAATCTTCACTCCCCTGGAGATGAAATGTGTAAGTACATCTCTGCATCAATGACGACACTCTCAGGCACACATTATAGCGTTGTTTCATACTGTTTCCCTGTTGTAACTGGATGTGTTTGCTTTGCAGCTGGACGCAGATGATGCCAAAGTGACGTTTGAGGAGGAACCTGGGGTAGATGTGTACCATGAGTGCCCACTGCCATAAACAGTATCATTAATGTTTCACAAACTTTTAAATGAAATCAATTGTCAACTACAGGTCATTTTGTGAACATTAAACATAGGGTGTCTTTAAAAATATGTAATTGTAAACATATACAGTTTAAAACTTCTGTTATTATTATTTATCTTTAAAGAAATGTACCTCTTATTTATAGAATTCATACACTTATACACTTAACTTATATATTGAGTTTTGTTTGAGTTGACTTATTTACATGCAAGATTTGTTTTCCTTGAGACGTGAGGTAAAACTATTTAGAATATTTTTTCTTTCTTTAAATGTATTACAACAGTATAGCTTTAAAGTGACTCCCAGTGCTGTCGCATATAGATCTGCCCATATTATGATAAAATGATTCCACCTCACTTTATGTTTGCTATTTAATTTTTAACATTTTGCCCTTTACATGTGTTCAAATAATACATTTTCAGGGCATTTTCACACCAGCCTTTTCCCCATACAATAACCTTTATTAATTCTAAATTATATGTTTTGAGTTGTGTTATGAGTTTTCACTATTTGATGTGTGTATAGAAAGATGTGTAATGCACTTATATCAGATTTTAAGTATGTGATTGCTTAGATAGTGGATGAGATAAATTGTGTGCGCCAATTGTTATACTGGTGATATAATCAGGGAGAAATGTATTTGTAAATGTACCTTATAATGCCCGTTCATGTGTGCCTGAAACACTGTACATGCTTGATTGGATTGTATGAATTGTCATTACAAATAAAAACATAATTTAAAGTCCTTGTTTTCACGAATGCATTAGAAATGCTATAGTACAAATCAATCGCAGCTCACTTTTGAACAGGAGAGGGGTGTTCACTTGAACCAAGAGGATTGCCACTCAGCTGCATGCTGCCTTCAAGGATATCAAGTAAACTCCAACCTCTATACTTCTACTTTGAAAACACCATAGATGTCGTAAATACATTTTTTCTTAAATAACAAAATATACAAGAAAACAAAAAGAAAGCAGCATTCCAATTAAAGCGTGATATGGCTGTCAACAAGTGCTCAGATTTGTATTTTTTCGATTATTTTATTTTAGTTATGTGATTAGGCAAAGATTAAGCATTAATAAACAGACTGGGAAGGTTTAACATATAGATCTTTTATTGATACCAATAACTTCAACATGTCATACGCTTTTAGTGAAATTAAATAAGAAATGATTGAATACAAAATCATTAAAATAACTACAGAACAAAAATTATAAGACATTTCAATTAACTTACAATCAAAATAGCTAATATGTCATCTTTATTTAATTCAACATATCCTTAACAAATGTTATTCAGTGTTTCCCAAAGAATTTGATTATTTCTGTAGAATAAGAAAATACATGTGAGTTAATGGCTACGGCAGACAACGTTCTTGTTGGTCTGTGTTGCGTTGTTAATGAGTGAGACAAAACGGAGTTGAGGATCTGTGGGGTTTAATCTCCCAAAAATATAATTACAATTTAGGCATTTAGCAGACGCCCTATTCCAGAGCGATTTACAATGACATTCTCCTTTGAGTAACTGAGGGCTAAGTGCCTTACTCAAGGGCACACTAGTAGTGGTGTTCTAGGCGGGATTTGAACTCGCAACCTTCCGATCATCAGCCCACCTCACTATCCATTAGACTACCAAAATAAAAATAATCCTATTAAAAATAATAATAATATTTTTTTATTTATTTTTTTAGATCCATTTGTGGTGGACGATATTTAATTGTGGCAGCCCGCCACAAATAAATCCATGGACGGAAAACACTGTTTTATTCAACCTCTATGCATGTATATGCCATAATTTTCAAGTGTCCGACAGCAAGGGAACGCAGCACAGTTTAACAAGGCCGAGTGCCTGAAAGTCATTTGTTTTCCCTGAATCGCACCGACTGGATTGGACAGCCGGGAGATCCGCCCACAAACACGCAAGGTGGAGTTGAAAAGAAACAACATGCTGGGCCAAAATGAAGCTGTCAAACAGCCTCTTACTACTTGCTAAAACAGGAATCGAGCAATGTGAAAGTAAATGAAGGCTGGTGGACCAATTGAATAGTTTCAAGTTGGAAGCTGACGTTTAAAAGCGAAAATATTTAAATTATTTTTTTTATATTTCATTTAAAAAATGTTAAGTTATTATTGTATGTGAGATTTGTTGGTTTCAATTAAATTAGACACACATAAAAAAAAAACGTTGGCTCATGAAACTTTCCCGATTAAATATTGCGGGTTGAAGAACAGACATGGCCGGTCTTTGGGAGTAAAGTAGTAATCGTTCGGTTGGGCTCAGAAACAACGATGCGAGGTAGGAAAAAATGGATGTCTCCGCGTAGCGAAATGGTTGGATGGAGAGAGAGGAGCTGCTGTGCGTTGAGTGGAGGGAGACGGCGAGTGAGATGGAGGCGGGGGGGAAGGACCATCTCTGCGGGGACTGGAGCCCAGGACCGACGGCGCAGTGCTGGCTATCGTTCAACCCTCCCCTTCTTCCTCCACAACGACACCAAAGCTCACGCCGAGAGACAGGTAAGCTGACTGAACAACCGCGGGGTTTCATAATAGGATGAAAGTGCGCGATAAACCAACAACAGCGTTTATAGCCGCAAAATCGACCTTTAATGTTTGATTTTGTTTACTAATAAAGCACGTAGGTTGGCAGGCTTTGTAGAAGCGAAACAATCCGACCGCTGTGGCAGGGTACAGACGAGGTCGGCCATACCCGAATTTGTTGTCCTATCCAGCGGGGAAAATTGCATGTAACACCCCGAGGTAAATATGTTATTTGCTAAAAAATTACATCAAGATACTTTTTTATACTAATTCCCGTAATCTAAAATCGTCTATGTGTACTGTAACCGGGGTATTTTCGTGTGGAAATGCACGGTGGTTTCCGCGCGGAGACCTCCATGCGGCTGTTGGCGGAACAGCTAGCCGCCTCTCTCGGTTAGCCATCAGGGATCTCGGTTTAATATCTCACCGTGCAGAGACTCGCCCTCTCTCTCCCCCTCTCTCTCTCACTGACTAGCCCTGGAACACCGACGACCGAGCTCGGAGAACCCGCCTTCTTGTTCTCGTTTATACGCTTTTTGGATCGAGGGAAGGGAGTCTGCAACGCCCTGGGTTTAGTTTTAAGCTCCGTGTTTTGTGTTTGCAGTGCGCCATTGGACCTTGTCACGGTAGGTTTCCTAAGATCAGAGCTGAAGCATGGCGGACCTGGAGCTGTTTGTCGCGCCAGTGAACCTTCTCAGCCTCGGTTGTTAACATGTTTCCTTTTAGCGTTTACCTTAAAATGTAGGTACAGTTTAACCTCGTTGTACTGTAGCCGAAACCTCAACCAGCTACTGTTTAAACGAATTAGCTCGCAAAGTATCTCGAGGTTGTAACGTTTGACCGTTAACAAATATTTTCCGATTCCTTCTTTCTTGGTGCGCCTCCGCAAGTCCCTCCAACCGACCACCACGAGCTGTATCCTGGGCATGAACATTTGTGAAAAAAAATGATGTAAAAATACGGTTAAGTTTAATATAGGTTGACGTTTAACGTTATCTCACAATATAACCGTTAATCAACTGTTTTAACTTGAATGTAACAGCCAACCTGTCTACCTCCGGGAGATCTTTTTTAAATGCATACACGCAAAGATTTAGACAATATTTGTATCAAATGTTAAGTGTCAAAAATATGTAGGCTATTTGAACTATATTTGAAGTCAAGATTTCAGCTTCACTTGGTGTTCCAATTTGCCCTTGGCCGTATTGTCTCAGATCTCGAGTTTGTACTCCATATGTTGTCATCTTTATGAAATTGTTAAATATGTAATGTTCAAAAGTCTCCAGATGTACGTTATGGAAGCTTTTTGGTTACATAAATGGTGAAATCGATTGTTATAAGGTAGCTATGTCACATCGTGAACACCACAGTGAGCTGGGGCCATCAAGGACACGATGAACAACAAGCAGCCGCCATCATTGGAGCACAGCTCGGCTACGCCTCGCTGAAGAATGCTCTGGGTTTTGCTCTAAAATCTCGATGTTAAACGCCAAAAACCTAAATAATGCGGTCTTTAAATACTCTTAAAACATATTTATTTACTGTAAGCGAATATTGTATTGGTTTCCTGGCTCCAGTTTTAGTCAACGGTTAAGGAAAAGATTATAGGGTTGCATGGCGGATCTAGATCCGCGTCCTTCGGTGATGAGGCGCCTCTTCCGAGTGGCGCATTTGGCTGCAGTGCTTCCAAGCCACCATTCCCCCTCGTCGGAGACCGAAAGCAGATCCCTCGTCCGTGGTCAGCTGGTCGCCTACAGCTGCCTGTCTGTCCACGTCCATTCGCTTCCTCCTTCCGTGGATCCTCCCCAACCTCGACAGAAAACCCTCCATTACCGAGCGGAGCGGGCGAGAAAATGGTCGCTCCTGTGTGTTCACGATACTTTAGTTGTGGACGATAGGACGGTACTAATACGTTATATTCCGGCTGGTGAAATTTGCTCGACGGAGACTGCAGTTGTCTAGTTGTGCCAGTTGAAGCCCTCTGCAGTGTTATTTGAGATTTGAAGCCGTCACAAGCAAAAGCCCATGTCTCACCATGTAGCGTAAACGTTTAAGGGGCGGTGTAATGAACATAAACCATTATGTCAAGGCAAATTTAAATTCCACCACTTTAATTCATCGTAGTTGTTTCTTGCATACAGACACATGTCCCTTTCTATGATTTAATATACTCGCGAAAATTATATAAACATAAAATGTGATTTTGAAAAAAAGCTTTTCTTGTTATGTGAGCGAAGTATGACCGTCATATAATGGATTGCAATGCTTTTCTTTCTTTATTAGTCTCTCTATAAATGTTTGATAATTTGATTTTTCTGTTGTATTTTGTAGATTGAACACAGTATAACCACAAATGAATGGAGCCATGGAGGCAACCACCCAAGACAAAGGTGTGGTATTGACATGTATGGAAATCATTTTATTATTCATTACACTCCCACAATGACAGTACATTTGCTATTGTGAACACTTGGTATAAAACTAAAATAATGCATATTGTGTCATTTACTATACAGGTCACTGTAGCACAGAACGTCAAACAATTCAGACAAATTGATTAGTCACCCTATGGAAAAAATATTGCAAACTAGTTTTACAGACATTTATAATTAAAACCCTATTGTAGCAATTATAGCGATGACACCCTTTTGAGAGTAAACAACCCCGGAATGCATGATTTATTCATTATTATTACATGGCTTAGTTGAATACTCGATTCTGATTGGTCAATTCAGAACACATGACACGTTGTTAATACCGAACAGACAGACCGCTGTCAAGGACTTATTGACCGTTGTTAAGGACGCTCACATCTGCACAAACAAGTCCATTCAATTTAACTGTATACAGTTTGGCCGAAAAGCAAACTGCATGCAGTTTGCTTTTCTAACTGACAAGACAAGAGCGAAAAGAAAACAGCGGAGAAGTAACGGGCAGAAATCCTCCTTTTTACGCAACGGTCCAGACATAGACATGAAACGGCGACACATATTCAGTTGCCAGTTACTTTGGCATTAGGGCAGGGATATCTAGATACTTTCCAAGGTTTGACATAATGAATTGTGCTACTTTTAAAGAAAACAGCAATGTTTTCAAATCTGTAATCAAAAAGCTCCTCAAAAACGCTATCGAAGCAGTTCCTGCCGTTGCTACGTTAGTTCAAACAGTAACAACGGACTATTTTTCTTAGCGGATGCATGTCAATTTAAATCAATACATACAACTATTTTTTAAATCAATAAAATCATTTTCTAAATCCTTATAAGCATTTCAATTAATAGTGGGAGTCATAACGTTACTTTGTTGAGAATGTGGCCATGTAATAAGCGGGATAATGTGCAGTGACTTGGTCATAATGTGCCTTCAACCGATCTAGATCCCTCCGCTTCGCGTCGGGCTCCTGATCAGCCTGTCAGTGTTCTTTTCCCCATAATGACCGCGTCGCAACACATTATCCCTTACATAACAAAGTATTTTATTGTATATCATACTATAAAATCACTATATTTATATAATATGGACTTGTTTCAATAGGGAATCCCTAACTGGAAAACATTTTAGACACACAAAGGATAATATAACTAGTTTTGTATCTAAGGAGTCAGATAAGCAGAATGATCATTTTTGTGTCATTGTGTATACTATTTGTATGTTATTACAGTTTGGGCACAGGACGACCTCTTAAAACTGCTGGAGGCCATGAAACTGGCCCTGCCTCAGAAGGACCTGACCAAATACAAAACATCAGAGTCCCACCTTGACTGGACGAAGGTGGCCTTCAATTCCTTCACAGCAGAGATGTGTAAGCAGAAGTGGTCAGAGGTCTCTAAAGAGGTGAGTCAGTTTAAGTTTGTAATGTAGTATTTGTGAGGATTGCAACCACAGTCGGATTTTGTTGGTTTGATACCAAATGTGGACTTACAAAAAAATACTTTTCTTGTCTTTCTTAATTACAGATTCGTAAATTCCGCACTCTGACAGAACTGATATTTGATGCCCAGGATTATATCAAGAACCCATACAAGGGCAAAAAACTAAAGGTTTGTTAAACATTTCATTTTACTCTACTCTTAAAGGTCCCATGTCATGGCCATTTCTACTGATCATAATTCCATTGTTGATGTATACCAAAATAGGTTCATACTGTGCAATTTTCCAAAATCGCATTGGTTTCTCATACAGCATCTCTGTATAGTATGTGTATTCACTCTCTGTCCTAAACGGCTTGTTGGAGCTCCTACCCTCCCCTCCCTATGAGCCCAGTGGCCGTCTGCGAGACACAGCGAAACCGAGCCCGAACACACACACACACACACACGCAGCCTGGCTGGGAGTTTGTGTGTGTGCTCACACACCGACTCGCAGCCTGGCTGGGAGTTTGTGTGTGTGTGCTCACACACCGACTCACAGCCTCGCTGTCTCAGGGAGGAGAAATCAACGGAGCTGCATCTGAGAAAATATTGAGTGTGTGTGAAGAAGTCAGCGGATTGGTCAATTTGGACCAATCCACGGACGTAACGTAACAGCTCAGTGGACGTAACGTAGCGGCTCCACGGATCGCTCCATTTGGGTTGTCGTCACGTTACTTGGTACCAGGAAGAAAAAGAGAAATCTCCAACGAGGCGTTCTGGGGCAGCATAGCCAGGTATTTTCTGTGTTAGAGTTTTACTCGCTACAGGGTAAATGGTAAATGGACTGTACTTATATAGCGCTTTTTCCAGTCTTTAAGACCCCTCAAAGGGTGTACTTTGAGGGTTTGTGATTTTGCAGTCCGTTTACATGCATAAAAACCTTCATAACACACAAGGGGACGGGTAATAACCGGAAAAGCATGACATGGGACCTTTAAACAAGTAATAGTTGTGAATAAAACTCATGTGACGTTTCACTTTGTTCCCCATCCCACATGATATACAGAAACACCCAGATTTCCCCAAGAAGCCCTTGACTCCATACTTCCGCTTCTTCATGGAAAAGAGGGCCAAATACGCAAAATTGCACCCTGAGATGAGCAACCTAGACCTTACTAAAATTCTCTCTAAGAAGTACAGAGAGCTTCCTGAAAAAAAGAAGGTCAGCTAAAAGCATGGATCTGAGGTGCAGCTAAAATTGTGATTTTCAACTTGCCCGTTTCTAATTGAATCCTTGTTTTTTTCTTCTTCCTCATGGCTACAGAAAAAGTATGTTGAAGACTTTTTAAGAGACAAAGAAACATTTGTGCACAGCATGTCGAAGTTCAGGTCAGATTATGTGTTAATATTTACATTTATATTAACACTGGGGATGTTAGATCTGCACCTGAAGCATTATTAAAGACGACAACTGTCCTTAATTGTTGTGTACATATAGAGAACTACACCCGGACCTAATGGAAAGTATGACGAAGAAAGGTTCAAATGCACCAGAAAAGCCCAGGACACCCCAACAGCTGTGGTACAACCACGAAAAGAAGGCTGTCCTCAAGACACGCCCGGATGTAAGTCAAGACATTTAAAAACAGGGTCGGGGAGTTACTTCACAAAATATAGTCTGATACGATTTCTAATGACCTAAATGTAATCGGTAGCTTAATCCAACCATCACAACATTAAAGTAAGTTAACTTGGTTACTGAAGTATTTTCAGGCTGCAATACCTCTCACAAAACATGCTTTGCGACAACTTGCACATTACTCCGCAAATAATGAGTGTATTGCATTACTCCCCCAGCCTGCTTCAAAGCCAACATGTATAATACATAATTGTATGGTGTGACGGATGTTTACTTTGTTCGAAACCAGGCAACAACCAAAGACATTAAGGAGAGTCTTGGCAAACAGTGGACGCAGCTGTCTGACAAGAAGAGACTCAAATGGATTGCCAAATCCCTAGAGCAGCAGAAACTTTACGAGGTAAGACTACTGTGGTGTGTGTGATATGATGTTGGTTAAAATATATTAGCTATTGTGGAAGAATCAGGAACTGCTATGATGGCATACAGTCCATCTTTCCATATTGTTGACTGTTTGCAATACTCTAGGAGACAATGCGGGGGTACATCCAGCAGCACCCGGAGTTAAACATCACCCAAGGGGATATCTCCAAGTCCACCCTGACCAAGGCAGAGAGGCACCTGAAAGACAAATCTGAGGGCCGACCTGACAAACCTCCTCCGTGAGTCACAGCTGCAAATTCACTGACTGTTGGCTGCTTCACTGTCAATGAGTTGTGTGATTTGGGGCTGGCTCTTGAACATAATGTTTGTGTTTCCTTCAGAAATGGTTACTCGATGTTCTGTGCGGAGTTGATGTCAAGCATGAAGGACGTTCCCAGCACGGAGCGCATGGTGATGTGTAGCCAGCGGTGGAAGCTGTTGAAACAGATTGAGAAGGATGCTTACCAGAAACGCTGTGAACAGGTCAGTCTAGAATCATCCTGCCAGATAACAAAGGAAAGATCAAACAAAAACTGAGTTTTAAAATAAATGTCATTTGTATTTTTAGAGGAAGAAGGACTTTGAAATCGATATGCACGTATTTCTCAGTGTAAGTCTTAATTCTTTTCTATATCCAACATCTAACAAGTATTTTGTTGCAGCTATCAATGACCTAATAAGTGTGCAGAACTTTGCTTCAATAATTCCTCATGTGTATATCCTCTGCTGTACCTTTAGAGTTTGTCAGAGGAGGAACAAACCCGAGTTTTGTCTGAGGATAAATTAGGCTTTAAGAGAGGCGGAGCCAACAGTCCTGCGGCAAAAAAGAAGGCCTCCAGAGCAAAGGTAAGATCAAGTATACGATCTTCACATTTCTTCAGATGCAAAATGTTTTCCCTTTTCTAGCTAACCAATTTGATCTCAACACAATTATTTTATCCAAAGAAATTAGACTTCATATCAAATCACTTTAAGCTTGAACCCCATTCCCTACATGTTTGGTTTCTACATACTTTTAAGCCATTTCACATTATATTGGGTGTTGTAGTATCCTTTTCACACTCTTTCTTTATCACCCATAGGCCAATCCAGAGAAACCCAAAAGGCCAATTTCAGCCATGTTCATCTTCTCTGAGGAGAAGCGTCCCAAAATGCAACAGGAGCGTCCGGACGTTTCTGATAGTGAGATCACAAGACTCCTGGCTCGCATGTGGAACGAGCTGCCCGACAAGAAGAAGGTAAGGTGATATTGTATAAGGAATATCAGGCAATAGTGTAGATGCCTGGAGGGAAGACAAAATCATATATATCATTAATTTCAATTTCTTTCTCTTATGATCTTGTTGTCTTTGTCTTTTAGGAAAAATATAAGCGCTTAGAAATGGTCCTGAAGGCAGAGTCGGAGAAGAAGGAGAAAGAGGATCGTACTCGACTGCCCGACCCCCCCAAGACTGCTCAGGACATCTGGCAGCAGAGCGTCATCGGAGACTACCTGGCCAGATTCAAGGTACGCATCAATACCTTTCTCAAGAACACAAATATACTGCTGGAAAACTCACAAGATATTCCGCACAAGTTTATTAATACAAACCTGTGTTTTGCAGAGTGACCGGCCAAAGGCACAGAAAGCCATGGAAGCAACCTGGAGCATTATGGAGAAAAAAGAGAAAATCATGTGGATCAAAAAGGCTGCAGAGGACCAGAAAAGATACGAGGTTAGTGTCAATTCTCTGAGAAGAGCTCCACAGCAAGGTTTTACATTTCAATACGTTTTTAGTTTTGATCTTTGATTTCATTTAAGTTTAGAAGTATTTTTGTTTGTCAAGTATAAAGCTACATTTACTTTACAAATTATATTGTGGGAGAACTGCGTGGAAATGGCAATATCTTTATTTTGGACTACTTCACTACCACTCTCCGGTCACCATCTTCTGGAATAGGAGTTTGACCGAAATTCAGGCTTTTTCCTTTAGGTTGAGATATATTATGGCTAAAGGAAGGATATTTATTTAGTTTAGGACCATTTTTCTTGCTTCTTTCCTTTTTAAGTATCAGTTCTAGAAACCGCTCACAGTTGACTTACCTCTCAACAGAGAGACCTGTGTGAGATGCGCTCACCTGCTGCTACCATCGCCGCAGGGAAGAAGATGAAATTTGAGGGTGAACCCAAGAAACCACCATCGTAAGTCTGAAACATCCAACTTGTCTGTGCTGCCTTTTTGTGGGTATTATACTGAAACCTAAAAGTTGTGGTCGCTTGCTTCTGTCTGTCTAGAAACGGCTATCAGAAGTTCTCTCAGGAGATGCTGTCCAACGGAGAACTGAATCACCTCCCAATGAAAGAGCGGATGACAGAGATCGGCGCCCGCTGGCAGAGGTGTACACTGAAGGACAAAGACCGCTACAAGAAGATCGCAGAGGAGAAGCAGAGGCAGTACAAAGTCCTTCTGGAACAGTGGCTTGGTGTAAGAACGGGTTGTTTGTAGAGGGGGCACATTTTTCAAGACATGTTGGGTACTTGACTTATCTAACGTACACTTTCATTCTTCCACAGAGCTTGTCTTCACAAGAGAGAAACACCTACAAAGAATATAATTCACAAGTACGTTTAATACTCCACTGTCATGGTTAGCACTGACTATGCTGTCACAAACTGGATTAGAAATTGTAATGCAGTTATATCTCGCGTTGACACTTTTTAAACTGTTTATCTGCATTTCTACATTTCAGAAAAGAAGAACTACAGCAAAACCAGGAGGCCCCAAGGCAAAGGCTAAGAAATCTGTAAGCAAAGTCTGTCTTTTTGATGCCGTTGGAAGGGCCGCAATGATTCTCAAATTATGCATTGATCTGCCTATTCTTTTCTATATTAATCAGTCGCTAACTCCATCCTAGTTTCTAGTTCCTTGTCCAAGTTCATGTCTTTAAATGTCTGCTTTTATAATGTTTAAAATTCAAAGATATTCACTTTAATATGAGTTCTCCATACTTAAGAATTTTGCCTAAACTGCATTTTTCATGTTTTTTTTACACGACACAATAAGAATTGGCAATTATCCGTGTGTTGACAATGTTTCATTTGTATGTGTGGTCATACCTGAAAATCTCTCTTCCCACAGGACACGGAGGAAGAGGACGATGAAGAAGATGAGCGGGAAAAGGCTTCCACTGAGGCATCCTCATCCAGCGAGGATGATGATGATGATGAGGTGAGTGTTGTCTCACTGCCATCAAACACAGATACAAAAAATAATTGAAAGTTGATTGTGCTATAAAAAAAACACTTACATTTTTGTTTGATGAAGAAGGAGGCGGATGATGACGATGAAGATGACGACGACGAGGCAGAAGATAAGGAGAACAAGTCAGAGGACAGCAGCAGTGATTCGAATTCGCAGTCGTCGTCGGACTCTGATTCGGACTGAAACTTGCCGACGTCTTCGTGAGACAGACTGAGCAGCGCTGAGCTGAGCCAAGAGTCAAAGGAGCTCTGTCACTGTGCCAACCCTGCTCTCCTCCGCCCACCAGAGGGAGCCCCGCACCGCCTCATCCACCTCACACTCACCCACTCAATGTCGCTGATGGTGATCTTACTCATTGAGGGACTCCGCCCCTATGTCCAAAATCAGTTTCATCCCCTCCCCCGCTGTGATTGGCATCTCACAGTACGGGCCGCTGGCGTTATGCCAAAAACTAGTTTGGTGACGTCGTTGGTTTCAATCTTGACTTACAGGATCAGGGTTAGGATAGAGTTTTAATGTTGAGGGTAATTCTTAACCTTCCAGTGTTTTTATTTTATTATTATTATGGTAATTAGTTAAAGACAGGCGGCATGAGTTGTTAACAGGCTTCATAGAGGCGAAGAACATGGATCACTTTAGGGAGTGACGTGGGGGGGGTGGTGTGCTGGGTAAAGAAATATTGCACTCTTCAGAATGTTTCCCTATTTTTGTCCTATTTTTTTCTCAGAGCCTTGTCGCTTTGTTCTCTTTTCTCAATTTATGATGTAGATTTTATCATTTGGTTGTTAAAGAGGTGGTATTCTTTCAGGAAAAAAATCAAGCCATTGTGAATTGTCTTTTTGTTGCTGGAAATTTTTGGGAATTTGTTACTGACCCATGTTCTCATTTAATAGATAGCAGTGCCTATATAAAGTATTCACACCCTTTTGGACTTTTCATGTTTTATTAATTTATAGCGTTGCACAATGTGGATGCTTCGATACTCTGACAGAAAAAAAAAAGGTCTTTATTATTACCATGAAATGTTCACTAATAGTGAGGAACCCTGTACACAACGATCTGCGATATCCTACGTGTTTCAAAGTGCCGCAGACATTTCATATTTGAAGTATAACTGACATCGATTGCATCTAGTAAGACAGCAGCAAAATTGCCTGTAAGGAAAACACAAATGTATCTAAATATACAGCAAGTTTGAAACGCCCACAACATCATTAATCTCCATAAATGTTTTGTTTTTAATCATCTCTGTGAATGTATTTTCTGTACATGTTACTTTGTCTTCACAAGTATGTTTAATTACAGACTGAGCTTCTAGGTATAGGTTTCTTACTGGTCCCAATTTTAATCACACAAGTGATCTCACTTCAACTTATAACAATCCTTCTGCAGCAGTCAATACCTTTTGTATTCATTAGTTTTTTTGATATAACTAAATTAAAACATCATTTGTAAAGACTTGTTCTGTTGAGTGTCAAAACAGCCTGTTTCCACTAGGCTTAAAACAGAAAGAGATTTAAAGAAGGTGAATACTTTTTAAAGGCGCTGCAAGATCCATAGCCTTGTGTCTGTCATTTATCGAAGTTAACAGACATGTCCCGTATATTTATCCACGATTTTCAAGCAATTCTGTTTGTCTTAGTTCCTTCTGGCCTGACTGTAATGAACAGTGTTTATTGTGTGACCGAGCAGTTTGTCATTGAAGGGATAACACTGGTTTTCCACATGTACAGCTCAATCTGACTGTTTCTAAAGAATACAGATGGTATATGTTTGTTCTCCAAACTGTTGTTTTAGGTTTATGGTTTGAGTTAAAAATGTTTGTTCTATTGTGTTCTGATCCATCTGGAATCATTTTGTTGAGCTGAATGGTTTTCATAAATTGTATTTTCTTTTGAATTTGTAATGCTATGGACTGTAATCCGAAAGGGTTGTAGTCTAATGCTTAATCCCAAAAAAAGTGTGCACTTAATGTAAATCTTTCCCTCCTGTGTGAGTTTGTGTGCATGCCTGCACAAAGCTGTGTATATATGAGGGTGCGAGAGTGTGTTTCTTTGCTTTAATGTGTGCTGTTTTTACTGTTTTGTTGCATACCATGATGTGACTGCAGCGTGCATGTTTGTGCCTGTGTGGGGACGTCATACCAACACCATGAATGTAGATATTGTTAAATCTTTGAATTTTTCTTTCCAAAAGTCATTTTTCTGCTTGGCGCTGTCGTGTCATTGACAAGATTTCCATGACTGTCATTATAGGTCCATAGACAAATGAGTACATCGCAACTTTTAATAATCTGTTATTAATGAACTGATTTTGGCCATTTTCAATCTCATCCCTGTTTGAAACAAAAACCATTGTGGACTATTTAAATAATTAGGGGAGGTAGAAGACACGTGATTGCTGATATTGATAGATGGGAGTTTGTAAAAGGGATTTGGGCAAGTTGCCAGATGATTGGGGTTAAAAACTTGTAATTTTTCCTGTAAATACTGTTTTTGTATTCAGTGCTTATTGTTTTGTTAGTGCTTTTATTTGGCAAACCCTCATCTGTGACCTGAGGCCAGTGAGTTTTTCACTCACAGGGGAGAGCTTTTGGTTAAATTCACCTGTTTTAGTTGTTTATTCTCTCCCTTATGTTGGTTTATAGAGATATCTAAGACAGCAAAGCTTTACAAGTTTGTACTGCTGATCATTTGACAAAATGTGATGTTTTCTATAGCTGAGGGTGTTCTTATGACCTTGTAGTTCAAGTATTTGGGCAAATAAAAAATGATCTTTAACAGTTGGTGTGTGTTCTGTATTAAGCATTGTTCGAAAGGATGGAGAGCCGTGAACACTAAACATAACACTTAAATAAGCTAAAAACAATAAGATTATCTGTTAAAATAAATGATACTTTTTGATAGAAGCAATTTTCATAAATTAATAGCTTTAGTTATTTGTCAAGCATACATTACCAACATTCACTAGTCTTAGCCTGTCATTAAAATGTACGGCTTTTCTCTTTTAATTTACTACATTTTAAACTGAATGGCATTTTGTCCTGCACAAAACAGGAACTTACCAGGTGAAACCAGAGGTCCCTAAAGTTCTGCGGTGCCCACTGTCCACATAGTGCATATCGTTGTCTCCGATTACCTCATTCGTTCAGTCACAGCTATACGTTCACAGATAACGTTCGAAAATGCTGTATTCCTTTATTAATGTCTTAAGTGGATGGTAAACCTCCCCGACACGCGTCAAATGTGTCAGTCAGACCGATTGCACAATGGTTGAAACTTCAAAAATAAAGTCATCTTTGAGGACTCAGCTGCGTCACAAACGAGTCTTTAAAGATAATTTTAAATTCAGATATTGAATCCAAAAGTATTTTTACATGCTACTATATTGAAGTAAAAATATATCTAAGTATTTCCATGACCCCTGGAAATTAAGAATGTTTCCGCTAAATAAACATTTGACAGCTCATAATCAGAAGGCTTTTATTTTGAAGGTTGAAACCGGAAAACAGTTGTTTTGTTTTTGTGTTTAGTTCGTCGTTGTTGGCCTCCTCTGTAAAGCGGCTTGTAGCGATAATGTATCGGACACCTGCGACAACAAACATTTTAATACAGGATCTTTAAAAGATAAAAGATGGACGTAGCTGAAGTGCAGTTTTCTTATCAACGTTTTATGTGGGTTGACACTGACTGACACAGAGATGTTGCTAGTGCTACCCTCGGAGAAACTGCCTGTTTCAGGCTAAGGTAAGAGGAAACATTGTTTTTTGTGAAATTGGAAACATAACATCACTACATTGTATCCGAATATTTAATTCAATCAATATGCCAGAATTGTCTTTCTTTCATCAAACTAGCTTATTGTAGCAGGGCTAGCTATCAAATGCTAACAGTGCAAAGTAAAGTAATAACAGTGCTCAGATTGCTAACAACTGTCATCCTTTCCTCCATTAATATTGCAGTTGTGTCCTACATACGTTAGCTAGCCGTTTGCAACATTATGTTGATGGTTGTTTTAAAGAGCAACTTCCAGGTTAAAGACACCTGTGAATAAATGTGTAGGAAAATGATGAATACACTAGATTTTCAAAAATATATACAGAAATATACACTACAGTGACATCTGGCGTCGTTTTTGTAAGAAATGTTCACTTCCGCATAAAAAAGCCTCGGCACGTGACCTCCCGCGTGTGACGTAACACGGGGGACACAAGGGAGAGAGCGGCCGGTGTAACGTATTAATAAACATGGGTCCCAATGCTAGTTTCGACACAGAAGAAGTTGAACATGAATATTCGAATGCATATGACGGACACAACCTTATAATTATGAGCCTGCTAGGCGTCCAAGAGACCAGGAGCAGCCAAGGATTAGAAGAAATAACGGCCATCGGAGAGAAATTGAGCTGTGGTGTGAGGAGAACCAGTGGAGAACTGGGCAGCTATCTTGGTGAGTGACCGGCGTTAGCTACAGAATGTTAGCTAACGTCACATCACAACATTGTGAAGTTAGCTATCATATCAGGCTATAACTAAAGTAGTATTGATAATATAGTAACGTTACTGGCAGGACTGTTGATACTGATCCATAACAGAAACTAATGCGCAAGTATCAGCCGTATCTCGCGTTACCTAATGCAACTCCACACTACGGTGCTGTGTACCGGAGGGGAGAGAGAGCAGCGAAAGGGGGGGAGAGAGAAGTAATACGGTTTCCTGATAAAGCTGTGGAGAGTATGTGCTGCAGGGAGGTGGATGCACAACGCACCCAGGAACGAACGCTAGCTCCGGTCCTTTTTACTGTGGACTCGATGTCCTGACAGGCTGGTATTTGTGCAACCTGCACAAACACAATACTGCACCATGATTACAAATGGTGAAATACAATGTAAAACTACCGAAAAATACCAGCTCCTTAAAACACAACCGCTCTACTCAACGCAACTCTACTATACCCGCGGCCAGAGAGCGGAGATGTGTCCCCTGTGTGATGTAATATGACGCGTTTGACGTATGACCTTAAAAAAAAGCCGTTTTTAAGAGCAGAGCAAAAAAGCCGTTTTTAAGAGCAGAGCTCAAAATTGCTCCTTTACCTCTGAATTCCTGCCCTTGTGTATAGTTAGTTACGTGTCTGAGTCTCTGCGTAAAGATAGCATCTCTTTGTATACATTGTGGACAATTTATATGGTGTGATGGTTAGCACTCTGGAACCTTTCTTTGAGTACCCTAGAAAAAGCCAGCTTCTACATCTCAGGAGGATCTTGTAGCAGGATAGTGGTTGCAATATGGAAGATGAAGACTGACTTGAGAATAAGTCTANTTTACCCCGACTTGATATACTAGCTACTATTCAGATGAAGATGTTACCTAACATAAGGAGAATAGTTTAGAGTTACAGTGCAGGAGAGGAAGGAGTCATGAAAGGCTTATCCAGAGTCCTCCCCTGATTACAAAAACAGGGCAATATAATCTATGATGTTACTTTGAAAGTCATTGAAGTTTGGCAAACATACTCCAATACAAGTAAAGATTTTGCATTCACGTCTGAATTACTTGAGTAAATGCTCTGAGTCATATTCCACTGATGCATACCAAAATACATGTTTTCAATGGCACAACCTTTTCCCGAGTTTCTACACCCTACCCAAGCCTAAAGCATTAGGTCCCTGGACTGCATGTAAATTGATTTGCTAACTTAATTCAAAATGTGTGAGTGAATTTGCACAACTATGGGAGCATATCATGTGAGACACCTTTTGCAGTAGAGCTAATACAAAATATTTTAAATTATTTTTACTATAGTGTAATCTACGACAGAGCACGACCATGTTTGGTTGTCTTTGAAAATAATATTATGCTTCACCAATAAAAACATTTCAAACATAAACACTTGTATTTTGATTATTTCGATTATTTGTATTCCCTATTCAATGTCCTGTGATAAAACTGTAATGCACAGTATCTGTGTGTGATGGTAAACGATAAGTGTTACACACCCTCCTAATGTTTCTCTTCGACATGGACTGTCGACCTGCTGCAGAGAGGTGTGGCTCACTGCATGTGGTCTGCTTAATCATTATGGACAACCTTCAGACTCATAAACACATAAATCACAAACTTCTGCTACAGTACACCCTCAACAAGAAGCTTTCACCACATTTCTGCCAAGGACACAGAAGGACTGACATGAAATAAGGGTGTGGATAAATGCTGTGTGTTACCTGTCCTACAGAATGTGAGATGGCAAACAGCGAGAAGTTGACATGTAAGTTTAATTGTGAAGGTTTCCTAATATCTACATTAGATACACAATTATGTCTTGACTTTGAATTATAAACAACCTCCTGCTTTACAGTTAAGTCGTTGTAATCTGGTTCAATCTAAATGTCTCAATATTTTTTTATTGATATTTACTACTTCTTGGCCATATTTAGATTTGTGTTTCATTTTATACTCTTACCTTGGTATGTATAGTGCATTGCAGTTTCATAATTCATGCTATAATGTATTGCCTTTATACTATTTGCATATGTATAAGTGTCATGAGATTTCAAATGGAAGTATTTTAGTTTACAAAACAGAGGTAAATCAGTGTGCTCTTATAGATCTCCTTTTGGGGCAATTTGTTTTACATTTCTACAACCAAGTGTTATTATTATTCATTTACCACTTCATTTTCAATGTGTTGGTTTATTGTTAAAGAGCAACTTCCAGGTTAAAGACACCTGTGAATAAATGTGTAGGAAAAAAATGTATACACTAGATTTTCCCAAAAATATACATGAATATACACTACAGTGACATCTGGCGTCGTTTTTGCATGTTTTTGTAAGACATTTTTACTTCCGCATCAAAAAAGCCTCCCCACGTGACCTCCCGCGTGTGACGTAACAAAGGGAAACAAGGGGGAGAGCGGCCGGTGTAACGTATTAATAAACATGGATCCCAATGCTAGTTTCGACACAGAAGAAGTTGAACATGTATATTCGAATGCATATGACGGACCACAACCTTATAATTATGAGCCTGCTAGGCGCCCAAGAGACCAGGAGCAGCCAAGTATTAGAAGAAATAACGACCATCGGAGAGAAATTGAGCTGTGGTGTGGGGATAACCAGTGGAGAACTGGGCAGCTATCTTGGTGAGTGATCGGCGTTAGCTACAGAATGTTAGCTAACGTCACATTACAACCTTGTAAAGTTAGCTATCATATATCAGGCTATAACTAAAGTAGCATTGATAATATAGTAACGTTACTGGCAGGACTGTTGATACTGATCCATAAACTAATGCGCAAGTATCAGCCGTATCTCGCGTTACCTAATGCAAATCCACACTACTTTACGGTGCTGTACCGGAGGGGAGAGAGAGAGCAGGGAAGGAGGGGGAGAGAGATGTAATACGGTTTCCTGATAAAAGTTT